ACAGCTTTCTCACTATTTACAAATGGCTTTCTCAAGTGGGAGAGAGAAAACAGAGAAAACATTAAAAAAACTCAAAAAATGCAACAGGTGCCTAGTAGAAGCTGCTGCATGTTTTCAGAGGTGTCAGCCTGTGACACTGAATGACAGGTAGTAAGTTCTTTGCAGGTGAAGTTAATTAACATATTTGATCTGATAAAAGAAGTGAGATGTGAATGCAAAGAGAAGTATGTCATGGTAAAAGCTGTAGCTGATTTGGGCTTGCACTTAACCACAGCAGATTACAGGGAGTGATTAATACTAGGGTGGGAGAAGAACAGAAGCTCCAATTTCTCTACGGATTCTTGGCTTCACAGTATTGTGTTTTTCACTCCTGGTTCTTGCCTTGAAATATCTATACAAAACGAATCCTTTTATTTGGTAATATTTTACCCGCAGTATGGTTAAACAATAGCATGTGGTGTGATGTGATTAAGAACTAGGTCCTCACTGTCTCTGTGGAGATACACAGAGTAACAGTGCTGAGTCGGATTCATGGGACCTGGAGGCACATGTGACTGTCATTGTTTCTTCTAACTGCTTGGTGAGAGCACGCTGAACAGGAGGAGAGCTTTTTTTGCTATAGATGGACCATGAATAAACTTAGGAAAAGCTGATTCTTCAAAGCTGTTTTGGGATTTTTACCATGACTGATTATGTCTGTTGCTGTAGTTCTAGGTGATGGTTTTGATTAGTGCATGTGTGTCCCCCTCCCAAGTGTTGCTCTGATGGTAATTGCTGTATTACTGATTCTGTTCTTACTTCAGTACTGGTGCAGACTGACTGCAGGCTTTGACTGAAGTCTATGACATTTCACTGTGGAAAAAATACCAATGCAAGGTTCTGAAACCTTTTGAAAAATAAGATGAGAAAGGGCTTACACAATCTGTAAAAGCACAGCAGTGACAGTGCCACTGACAAACAGGAAAGCTAGGATGAAAGTGCGAAGCAGGCAATGGGTTTGAACAGGTACAATAATATTTAGTGTATGGAGGCTTGTTATAACAACCTGGAAACTTTACGGCCAATAACCCTCTTTCCAGAAGATTGTATAAGACAACTTGGTTTTTGTTTGCAACAAAACTAATAAAGCTTGAGTATGGGTGAATGTCCAATGTTTTTGCGTTCTGCTGTCACGATAGGTCCTGTTCTTCAGCATGTCTCTCAAAATAGCTGCTCCCATCCCCTCTGATTCCCCACGAAATATCTTGAGAGCTTTTCTTACATTTCCACTGCCTGTTTACAAGGTAGAGAAGTGACACAGTGTGAGGCTTCTTCCATGGTGATCAGCCTATGGTTTCCATGAACCTTCAGACCTCTGTAAGAGATTACTTTAAATGACTGTCTAATTTCAATGTTGACCATGGAGAGCAGTCAGATGAGGAGGTAACACACACCTCGTTTCAATAGGAAGCTGGGCTAAAAGTCATGACCTAAGCAAACAGATTTGAAAGAACACAGAGACCATATCCATAGCTAACACGGTTAAGTCATTTGTTGTTAATCTGCAGTGGATGGATTTGCTGGAAAGGCTTGGAATTAAGTGTGATTATTCCATCTGTCTGTTTGTCACCGGCCAGCTTGCTGGTACATTTGTGTATCTCCTGGTCAGGAGAACAAAAAAAAGGAAAAGCCACTGTGTGTGCTTTTTGTTCTGAGATATATTTTTTATGGATTTGCCTGGAATCTTAAAATATTTTTCAAAACATTGGTATTTCTTGTTACCATCTTGAATATAATCTGGAGATACACAGAAATAATAGGGCAAATAGCTATTAAGGTGGGGGAAAGTCTTGACAGTGATACTTATTAGGCAGAGGAATAGTGTCCCCAGGGAGCTGCTGGAAGCTATCACTTAGATCATATTAAAACAAGATTGGACAAGGCACTGGAAAATCTACGTTAGGGAACAGTCCTGCAATGAAAAGGGAGGGACTATATGACCTAATAGGATTTTTTCCATCTCTGATTTCTGTGATAATGTCAGGAGGACAGCTGCTTCCACAATTACTCTGTGCCCAGATTTTATAATACTGTCTCCCTTTCCAACACTTGTTCATTTTAAGTGTTTATTCAGCATGGGAGGAAGGGAGAGTCAACTAGTGTGAGTTACTGATAACTTATAAAAATATGGCTGTTTTTGTAGGTTGCCAGCCAAACACAATGATGATTTAGTTACTTAAATTCTTCCCTCAGCCCATTTTCTGAGGGCCAGGTTCATTCCATGTAGTAAATGGACTTAAACACAGAACATTTCTGTTTATAATTCCTTTCTTGTTTCTTTCTTCCCCTCCACTCCACCTTGGCTTGCCCGCAGTGTCCTGGGGAACTTATACTGGAATAGCTACAAAAGGGGCTGAGCAGCTTATTTACAGAGACCATAAATTCTTCAGTTGCTTTTAAAGGCAACAGTTTTGCAGTTCTTCTTACAAAAAGTCTGCTCATGAGTGCTTTTATGGGCAAGGTTTGGTTTCTTCATGAAGCATACAGAGCACTGTTTAATGCAACATCAGTCGTCTCCTAGGAATTGCTTTTTTTTTTTTTCAGCCTGACCATATATATTGATAACCTACCATCTGAAATGGGGAGCAAGAGGTGGTTGGAGTTTACTTTGTAATTTGACTGTAATGCAGTGAAACTTGGAAACCTTTAGGGAGAAAAAGAGTTTATTTTAGTTCTTACATTATTGCTCTGTTCCAAATCAAGCAATAGCTAAAAGCATGCAATAACACACAAAATAAACACATTTTAAAATATCAAGCTGTTGATTTTTGTAACCAGCCATTTCCCTTTTGTAATTTTGCAATATATTTCTCTGCATTTGTTGCAAAAAATATTTTTCTTTCTTTTTCTATCACAAGTAGTTATTTCTTAATTAAAATTGCAGCCTGTGCTAATGAGCATATCATAAAAATAGACTAAACAGATGTAATTTTCTTTTCTTCTAAAAATACACTGTATTTCACATGGTAATTCAGAGCCTGATACAAAACCCTTTCAATCAAGAAAGCACTTTCCATTTCTTTTCTGATCTTTAATCAGACTTCTAGCTGCATTTTGCTCAGAGGAGACAGAAGAGAGTTATCTGCCTCTTGGTCCTTCCCACACAAGCCTTGCAGAGTCTGTAGAGGTTCTGTGTGACAGCCAGTGACTCCTCCTGGTCCCCTCCTGGGGCACATATCTAGGTTTCCTTAACATCTGCTATTTATGAAGTCAATTCCAGCAAACTCTCTGTATATGGTCCCTGTATAATGAATTCTTCTAATGCAGATTGATTTTTAGGTTTTTCGATCTTCTCCCCTTTAATTGGACTCTAATGAGAATTTGTGGAGAACAGTCTTAGTTCCTTCCAACTTTTGTTTTGCAAAACTGAACTAACCAAATTCTCCTTTGCTTATAATGTTGGGTCCAGGCTCTTCTGGTGATGCTGGTGGACCTTCTTACCATCTATTCCAATCTGGAACCACATTCTCTCAGCATGGTGAGGCATTGTATTCAAGATGATGCCTCACCTCTGCCTTGTGTAATGATAGTAACCCCTTCCACTCT